TTTCTTGTAAAATCTCTCACCCATAAAAGGTAGTTGCTACCGTGGATTGAAGATAGGCAAATTCAGAATCTGATCATGTGACCTCAATTGGAATAAGGGATCCTGCAAAGGTAATCAAGGCCAGAATCTGGAGTTGAACTGACCCTTCATTGGGATGAACCCTTAATCCAACCTCCAAGAGAGGAACAAAACCCAGACACAAAGAAAGTCACATGAAGGTCAAGTTGCAAACCAAGGAATGCCAGAACCCAACAGTAGAGGGCAGAGCAGAGGCAAGGCTTCTTTCCTAGAGAACTGAAAGGAATGTGGGTCCTGCTGTTGATCTGGGACTAGTGTCCTCAAAAACTGTGAGAAAACAACTCCTGTTGTTTCAAGCCACCAACTTCTGCATAACTTGTGGAAACTAATATAGTTAGTTACTACTGAATTTGGAATAGCCGACATTCGGTGAAGGCAGCAAGCTAAAACGTAAATCCATGCTCATCCTGAGTTCTTTTCTCCCGCTGTGTACTGTAGGGCAAGTTCTTTGTAGGAACAGATGATAACCATCAGCTTTCAGAGACTGGAACATGCAGGCCATCCTGCCCTCATCCATTCCCAGCCAAGGATGTTTCTGCTTGGAATCTCAAGAACTCCCAGAATCTCCCCACAAGGAATAAAGTGGGAGTATTCACTGTGGAATGAGACACTAGACAGGTTAGCTGCTACTTGGCCCCAAATAAGTGGACAGGCAACACAGCTGTCAGTGTTTGTCCAGTGAACACACCCACACTGATTCCCTCTGTCCTCCTGATCCCCTCTGTGGAAACAAAAGGGGTCATGAGCCAAAGATGTTAAGCCAAGAGATGATAAACCAAGAAACAAACATAATTATATATTTCTCTTAACTACTGGTTCTTACAATTACAATATCTGTGAAACAGACCTCCTTTGAAGTGAAAAAAACAAAAAAACCCATGCAGGTCATCTGAAAGGTCCCTCTAAGTCTTGGGTATTTAAAGGAGTCCTCAGGAAAGAGTCATGAGAAAGTCAAATGCACTGATGTTCAGAGAAATGGTTTTTGTTCCTTTCGTCTCTTCTAACTCCTGGAGAAAAACAGCAGTAACCAGAGCAGCGACAGAGAAGGGTGACTTTTTTGGAGCAAAGGCATTAGACAAGATGACACAGGCTGACAGGCTCAGCAAATAGTGGATGCTCTGCCAATCAGCAGATAATTTCTCGGTGTTTGCAATGTAGGAAAGCTTTTGAGTCACATAGTGTTTAGAAGCCAGGTCACGATCACTTCGTGTGTCATCTTCCAATGTGAAGGTCAAAACAAAAGAAGGTGGGTGGAAGCAAGTGGGTAAGAGTAAGGAAACCTGTGTGACAGCAAATCAACCACATCCGGGCAGGTCTGGCTTCCTGCTTTGTGACATTGTCCAGGGAACCTGTGTCATTATCAGCTTTGTTGACAACTGAAGTGCTTGTGTCTTAGGTAACTGGCACTTCTTTAACTCCAAAGTCCTTGACAAGTCATGAAAGTCACTTCTTCCCTGCCTGAGTCAAGGTTCCCTTTGCTTTGCTTTGTAAGCTATTTGTAAGCTATTCCAGTATGGGAATGGTGTTAAGGAAGAGACGGTGAGGAGGGCCAGAAGATCTGGCACACGCAGTATTGGGGGATCCCAGAGTACTCTGACAGGGACCTCACTACTTAATTTAAGAGAATTCTAGAAAACTTAAAATACTCATGTTGAAATGAAAAAAATAAAAAGTCATTCTACAGCCAAACAACTTCAAGGTTTTGTGTCATTATTTGTCATTTGTTTTTCTCAGGACGGCAGAATGGAGAAAAATGAAATACAGGCAAATACTTAGAGGAACACTTTTTAAACATATGTAAATGTCGAATTTCTCCATTCCTCATCAAAGCATTCTTCTGAGGGAAGGAGGTATTCAAAATTAGTATTCAAAACAGCATTTAAAATTCAGAAAATGGGGCCAGTACTATGGTAGAGTAGGCGAAGTCTCCATCTGCAGTGCTGACATTCCATGACTTCCCATCCAGCTCTCTGCTTACGGCCTAGCAAAGCATTAAGACACAAGTTCTTGGGCCTCTTAACCCACACAGGAGCCTCAGTTGAAGCTCCCAGCTCCTGGCCATTCTGACCATTTGGGAAATAAACTGATAGAAGAGTTCTCTCTTTTTCTCTGTTTCTCCTTCCTTCTATGTAACTGCCTTTCAAATACAAATAAAATAAATCTTCTAAAAAAAAATTTAGGTAGTATAAACAACATCTATGTGCATGCATGTACACACACCAGGTCAGTCCACAATTCTGCAAACACAACTGTGGCCTGGTACGCAGCTAGTTCTGGAACATGAGCTTGGAAGCCACTCCTCCCCGCCACCTACTCCCTCCTAGCCACCTGTGACTCTCAGGGATTACCTGAGACGGGCAGTATTGTATTGTGTAACCACTCCTCTCACAGGTCCCTATAAAGGCTCAGGATAAGGAAGGGCTCACTCTTTTAAGTGCTTCCTTTGCTCTGGCACTCTCTTAGCCTCCCCAGTGCCTCTGAGGACAGGTATCCCCTGAGCATGGCCTCTGTGTGTCTGTATTCCCTGTCCTCTGTTTACTGCTTGGGTGGGACAATGAAGATAGCACTAAGATATTTTATATTTCTAATTTGTGTACTATCAGGAGTTCCAGGAGAGGTGAGGCCTAGCAGTAGTGGAATGCGGGCAGAGAAGCCAGCTTTAAGTATGTCCAGGTTATTCGTTACATGTCTCTTAGGATAACTTATATTATTGGGGAAGCTGGGACAGAGGTCTTCACCTTAATGGATGATTGAGGGTAATGACCATTTGTTCCTCTTGGAATTACAATTGTTTGGATTCCATATGGACTTGTGATTTGCTATTTCTAGTGGGTCCTATTATCACCAAGCCTGGTTAATAAACCTTAGACATGTCTGGTGTGATCTTGCTCACACCCCACAACAACAGTACAATGCTGATGGAGTGATTTTTTTACAACATCATGCTATGGCTCTACAGCCAACATGCTTCCCCTAGTCTTAGACAAATGCAGTACAGTACATGTGCCTGTGCCTATGAAGCGCCTGTCCTTTCTGTCCAGGAACATCAATCTGCCTGACAAGGTTGTGACAACAGAAAATGTAGCGCACACATCATCTCTCTGGGGATCTGCTGCGTGGCATTTGCACACATACACCACCATGCCATCTGATCCACCAACTGCATGGGAACCACAACCGGAGAAGGGGCAGGTGAGGATACAAGGAAGAGAGAAATTCAGCTTCAATGGAAGATGGGATGAGACTCATTTTCTAGCAGTTGTCCTATTTGTGAGATTCTCTCTCTTCCGAGGCAGGTGACAGAGGTTTAATTATTTGTGACCAGAAGAGGTAAGTGGAGTAGGAAGCGATCAGAGGCTTGGCTGAACCTACACACAGGCTCTGTAGAGTCACTGGAGATGAAGGGTCTGTTTAAAAACACACACACACACACACACACACACACACACACACACACACACACACAGTGCTTGTTAGCTGCCTCACATGCATTCATGCATTACCTTACAAAATTTTTGAAGAGTCACTCTGTGCACACATACTAAAAAAAAAAAGAAACAAACAAAAAGATATACCAAGGTAGATGATCTCTTACCAAATCCATATCCATCATGCAAATCAGAAGGTACACATTAAGCCTATTATTGGGGAAATTATGTTACCATAGTAAATAACTGGTGAGGCAATAAACCATCTGTGAAAAAAATAAAAAATTAAAGTGCACACACACAAATCCTCACAGATATCATTTCTCATTTCCTGGCATATTCCTGTATACCATGTCGTTCTGGCTTCCGGCAATCTTTCGTCCTTCTGAGAACTCACCACACAATTAATTTAAAAAGCCAGGAGCATCATCTGCTCCTCCAATCACTATGACCTGCTTTTGTGTGTGGAACAGGCAAGACTACCAGGACATGAGTGGGAGTCATTTTTGGAATGGCGGGTAGCGGCTCCTCACATCTGGATTAGGTAAAAATAAAATGATAACGTGATGATGAAGAACGCCCAGAGCCTCATCTGCATATAAATAGATCTCATCAGAAATGCAAATTGCAATCAGCAGAAATGTTTAAAGGCTGTGGTAGCTCTGTGATTGTGCAGATAAGGAAAGGGCAATACTTGTATTGTTAACCAGTTAAATGGTTCCCAGCCTGCCCAGAGAGCCTCCCTTTGAAAGAACCATTTACAAGGTACAAATTATCCATCAATCTCCACCACAGCAAGGACGGAGCCCCCACAGCTTCATTTTCTGAAAAGAGAGCTTTTAACTGGCCACCCAGAGCCAGAGTCCAATGAGAGACAAGCAACCAAACCTCTGGTGCGATTCATGATGAATGCAGACAACAGAAAATATGCTTGCATTTAACTACCCTCCAAACACCCTCTTTCAGCACAACTTCCTATAGAAACGAAAATTGATGGATGGAAATTAATTTAGGACTGATGCAATATTTTTCTGATAGATTTAGTGCTAGTCTGGGTCAGCAGGGGTGGCGGGGAAGAGGAGAGAGAAATGTGGTAAACATTTTCTCCATTCCCCAAGTTTTCTAAATACTGGAGCAACTAGATAACCCAAAAAGAAAAAGACAAGTTTTTAAATACATATTACTTAACCCAAAATTGCATTTGCAATCCTCTCATGCAAAACACACACACACAAAAAAAAGTATCTCAGAAAACTCAGAGTGCTGAAAACATCAACTGTTACAATATGGCCCTAACATTTCTTAGTCTGTGTTATCTTTCAGAAACATCCTCTTCCTCTTCTTCTCCCCCCTCCCCTTGTGTTTTTCCAAAAAGAAATATTTTGCCATCAGGCTTTCTCGCGTTTGAAGAGAAATTGCTTACCAACTATTTATTATCCCTCTAACAAGCCTGCTTCACAATGCACTAATGAGTCAAGAGCGCCATCTTGTGTCCTACCTTGGAATCTTAAACAGTGTTTTCACAGGATGCATGTCAAAGAGGGGAGGGTCTCCATCCCCCAGTTCAATGGCTGTGATCCCCAAGGACCAGACGTCACACCGAGCGTCATAGGAGGAGTCATACTGCTGCTCACAAGCAATGACCTATCAGACAGAAGCAGGATACAGCACATCAATTGCATGTTACCTCGGATGCCCTTGGCTGATGCTAGGATGTTAGACTGTTAGCTGCCTTCTTGGTTCTTTGGTTACCCTGTTATTGAATGAGACATGTATTCTAGACCTCATTTGTGTAAGACTAATGTGTCATATGATACATTTGTTAGCTTTTAAAAACATGTCCATTCCATGCAACAACAAAAAAAGAAAAGAAAAAAGAAAAAAGAAAAAACCAGGCACAGACTCTTTTAAGACTCAAACACAAAACAAGAGGATGCATGGGGTGAATTCCACAATATCCCCACCCTGCCATCCTTTAAAGAAAGGCTTTGCCTGTATCTTTCTTCTCCTGACTCGCTCTTGGATTCAATATTCAAAATCAAGAAGCAACTGTTCTCAAAGATGCTTATCTCCTGCACCAAATCCATAGCCATGTGCCCAGCTGAACAGAAAGACATTGCAAGTCTGATACAATTAGCATAAAGTAATAACCACCCCTGCCTATCCCTGCTGCTTCCTCCACTCACTTTCTCTAAGATCATCTGGCCCTCCTCAAATCCCACAGCTCATTTGCATTATGGTAGTAGCTGCCACTGCAGGATGGCCAGGAGAGCAACAGAACTGGAAAAGGACTCTGGGCTTGCCACTGGATTGGGGAGCATGAAAAATCTGCTATTACCAATTTTTTGAGTCAAACAAGGAAACTCCCTCCACTGGAACCATGGTTACTTTGCCAATGGGACAAGGGAGTGGGCTGCAGAGAACCAAAGGAAGTGGGGCAACCAGGGGCCTACTGGACCTGAAATCCACCTCCCTGAATGACACATGTATAAGGACAGATGGGAAACTTCAAAGTCTGGTGATCAAGCAGTTCCAACTGCAAGCACAGGGAAATCAGAAAGATGGTAGGGCCCTCCTAGGCCTTCATAACACCTTGGGCCTTCACACTGAATGAGATGAGCAGAGGACTGCCAGCTTCCCTGGCTGCTGCGTGCTGAGAATGAAGCTGTACAAGAGTTGGAGAAAGGAAACATGTAAAAACACTACTGCAAGAAATCCAGCTGAAATCTAGGAGATAATGAGAAAGAGCCAGACTCTGGATATAATTTTTGAAGGCAAAGTGCATCAGATTCATGGAATGGGCCTTCCAAACAAGAGGTCCTGAGGACAACTCCAATGTTTCTGACCTGAACAACTGTCAAAATAGAATTGGCATTTACTGGGAGGAGGAAGACAAAAAGCAGTTGTTGCCAACTCATGTTGACAAACTTCATTAAGGACACACCAAGTCTCAACTGAGTAGGAAACCTGCAAAAGGAGACTTATTTCAGTGTGGTAAGACTCATCCTGGACTTCAGACCTAGAGAATTCTAAGACAAAGGCAACAGTCTGAATGTACCCTTCCCCTCAAATTCATGCGTTGGAAACATCATCTCTCACGGAATAGTGTTGGGAGCTGGAGCCTCTGCAAGGTGTTTGCATGACAAAGGCTCCTTCCCCAAGAGGGGATCAATATGGCTATAAAAATGTCCGTGGTCCATGGCAAGCCCACACTCTTCTTCCTTCCGTCCTGTGAGAACACAGCAAGGAAACCCACACCACTCACCAAAGACCGTAAGACTTCCCAGGGATAATGCTATGAGGAAATCAATGTCCGTCTCTTGTAAATTACCCACTGTCAGGTGTTCTGTTGGGTAGCAGCACAAAATGAACCAAGACAGCAAGAAAGATGGTGTTGCTGTTTAACTAATTGCTTATCTCATGGAGAGGCAGAGAAAGAGGAAGATAGACAGAGCCATTAACTCACTCCCTGAATGCCTGCAAAAGCCTTGGCAGGGCCAGACCAAAGCAGGGAGCTGAGAACTACAGCCAGGTACCCCACATGGGAGGTAGGAATTCCATCACTTCAATTATCACCACTGACTCCCAGCCTCTGCATTAGCAGGAGCCTAATTCAGGAACTAGAGATGGAGATTAAACCTAGACATGCTAGCAAGCAATGCAGGCATCTGCACTAAGCTTCCATGCCCACACTATGTATGGTGTTATTACGGCAGTGCTAGGAAAATAGTCCACCTGCTCTCTTCAAGGCCAAGCTGATGAGACTGGCAAGGTCTGGTTAAACATGCCAGGTGATTTGCCCTAAAATGTCTGTTCTCATAACCATCCTCTACCTGAACTGGAGAATGCTTTTCCCTACACCTGGACAGACTCCAACCCCACCGTCTACCTAGAATACTCTGTCATAGAATATTTTGTCAGAATTTTTACATGTTCTCTTCAAACTTAAAACTGAAGTTCAAATAATACCTACTGGAAAATCAGGCCAGTTCACTGCGCTGAAGACCTTACTTTCATCACTCAAGCCAGATGAGAACCTACACTAAATCTTTTTTTTTTAAATATTAACCTATTTATTATTTGAAAGAGTTATAGAAAAAGAGGAAAGAATGGTAAACAGAGAGATCATCCATTGGCTGGTTCACACCCCAAAGTGTGCAACAACTAGAGCTGGGCCAGGCTGTAGCCAGGACCCTCATCCTGGTCTCCAACATGGGTTACTGAATATTCTGACCATCTTCTTAGGTAAGTGGAATAGTTGGGACTTGAACTGGCACCCATATGGAATGCAGGTATTGCAAGTGTTGGTTTAACCTGCTGTGCAACAGTACTGGCCTCCTAAACTATTTTAAAGGTCTCTTGAGGCTATTCAATCATTTTCAGAAGTGACATTTTCAAAAGTGTGAGGCAAACATAACTTTAGACCTATCAATCAGCAAATAGTTCATTACTGTGATGGACATGGCAAAGAAAAGAAAAATACAATGCTATCCTTCCCCAGTGAAAGCTATGGCCAATTGTGAACTTGAAGTACTTAAATGACAAACCAAGATAACTACAAGTTTCCCAAGTCAGTGTGTATCAATGTACACAATAAAGGATATGGGCTACAAATGCTTGGGGTGGTAGAGGGAAGCCATTGCTGTGTGAGCAAGATGGTGGAAAGTCTCTACAACCCACCATGGACAATTTAAGTTAACATCAAGTCATGTTCTTTTTTTCTTTAAAGATTTATTTTGGGGCCCGGCATGGTGGCGCAAGTGGTTAAGTCCTCGCCTTGCACACCCGGGATCACATATGGGCACCGGTTCTAATCCCGGCAGCCCCGCTTCCCTTCCAGCTCCCTGTCTGTGGCCCGGGAAGGCAGTCGAGGACAGCCCAAAGCTTTGGGACCCTGCACCTGCGTGGGAGACCTGGAAGAGGCTCCTGGCTTCGGATTGGCATAGCATTGCTGTTGCGCTCACTTGGGGAGTGAATCATCGGACGGAAGATCTTCCTCTCTCCTCTGTCTCTCCTCTCTGTATATCTGCCTTTCCAATAAAAATAAAATAAATCTTTTATTTTTTATTTTTTTAAGATTTATTTTTTAAAATTTTTTTAAAAATTAAGATTTATTTATTTTGATTGGAAAGGTAGATTTATAGAGAGAAGGAGAGACAGACAGAAAGATCTTCCATGCGCTGGTTCACTCCCCAAGAAGCCACAATGACTGGAATTGAGCCAACCCGGAACCAGGAGCCTGGAGCTTCTTCTGGGTCTCCCACACAATACAAGTGTCCCAAGTCTTTGGACTATCCTTGACTGCTTTCCCAGGCCAGAAGCAGAGAGCTGAGTGGGAAATGAGAGCAGCCAGAACACAACCAGAAGGAAACTCCAACTGAAGGTCCACACATCCTGGAAGTAGATTCCTTATCAATCTAACACCAAAGTCTGCAACTATTTCCTTAGGAGAAGGACTTTCACATAAAGTGCAAATGAGTTAGAGATGCTTGGACAGTAGACTGGTCTTTGGTTCCCTAGCCCCCAGGAGAAGACAATCTTATTAAGATTTCTCTGAATCAGATATTATAATGATCAGCTCAGAAAGAACAGCAGCAACTGCAAGCAAATACACATTTGGGCTTGGGTTTTCCAGATTCTAAAAGTCATAATAAAGGGGTACAACAAACATTCATCCCCTTCCACTCCTCCATCCCCAGTGCCCCATCATTTCACACTCCTTCATTCACCTCTACTGACCTGAGTCAACTCTCCATTTCAGGAGACTCACAGATCCCAACACTTAGGGATGCTCAAGTCTCTAATGTAAAAGGGCCAAGTATTTGCAAATAATCCATGCACACCCTACCATTTGCTTTAATCATCTCTAATCAGTTACTCACAGTCACTAATAAAAAATAAATACGATATCAATAATTGTTATACTGTATTGTTCAGGGGATGACAGAAACTGTCTGCATATGATCTGTGGTCGGTTGAATCTATGGAGGCAGAACCAGTGTATGGAGGGCTGACCATACTCTCTTGACGATGAGCTTCTGCATCCATCATGGAAAATACCATGTCCACTGGCAACAGTAGGATGGCAAGGACAGACTACATGGCGGAAAGAGTTCAACAGAAGACCTGCAGGACTTATGCAGTGCTTTAATATGGGAGGTGAGTGATTTCATATGGGACAAAGATTGATATTGGCTGGCCACAATGATGGTGCCATTTACACAAAGAAAGAAGTCAGAAATTTATTTGCTCAATAACAACTTGTCTGAACAGCAGCCCTAACGAGGTGTCAACCAATCACTCATGCATCAAGGCCTCTATTGATGTATAAAATGACAAAGTTGGAATGAGTGAGCTCTACTCTCCCTTCTAGCTGTAAGAGCCTCTGACTTCATGAATTCCAAGTAAGCATTCTGGGGGTAGTCTCCCAAACTTAGAGGCTAATATCTCCATTCAAACGATGTAGCCTGAGCAGTAGGTTATCCTGGGGATACAAATATAATGGCTGGAACCTGAAGGAGATTTTATTGCCAGTATCTTGTAGAAGGTCATAAGGTCTCTGAAAAGATGCAGGCGGCTGAGATAATGCCTCCACTAAGGAAGATGAGCTTCAGCAGTACAGCAATGGTTTGGAAGCTGGGTAA